CGTACAAATTTATCTTTGTACGAGGAGAGAGAAGTGAACAAAGAGAGAGGGACCTACCACCATCAAGAAAGAAGAGCCAGGAGGGAAGTATATCCTTTGAACCTGGGGTCCTGGCACTGTGAATGAAGCTCAAAGATGCCGGGAAGATGGAGCCAAGACACATGGCATCAGCATCCGGGCCTACAGATGCTGAAAAGCAATGAAGACCTTTCTCTAGAACCAACAAAGGCAGAACACCTTCCCCTAGAGCGAGCACTCTGAATTCGGACTGCTAGCCTCCTAATCTGTGAGAGAATAAATTTCTGGTTCCTAAAGTCCTCCCCTTTCGGTATGTCTATTACAACAGCACTAGATAACTAAAATGGTTAATACGGTTGTAGATTCCAAACAACCTGACCTCGGATTACACTTAATCCGTGTGCTGTCCTGCCTAGTGCTCAGTTTATGAGAACTGTCATTAAGTCTACCTATTTTAATAGTTTTCATCAGGTGAAATAGGAAGGAAAAGAAATTGAAATGGAGGGAGGCACTGAGAAATGGGGGGACTAAAAAAGTTTTACTGTGGCTTTGCAGATTAATGCGTTGGACTGCATGGTCAGTTTGAACTGACCAGTAGTTTAAGCTCACCAGCCGCTCCTTGGAAACCCTATACAGGGTCACTATGAGTCAGAACCTACTCAACGGCACTTAACAAATAAGGACTCCCAGTGTGATGCTTGTAGGATCGTCGCTGGACCACGAAAAACAGTCTGTGGTTCAAACCCACCAGCTGCTCCTTGGAAACCCTATACAGGGGTTGCTATGAGTTGGAAATGATTTGATGGTACTTAACAACAACAAAGGAAAATAAAGCCCGAATAAATATTTTAGAGAAACAATCATAGTTAAAATTTTACTCCCTGCCTAGTTATATTCCATAATCTATCACTCATTTTCAATCTGCAGAACAGAATTTGTATTCCAAATGAGGGGGAGTTGCTCTCTTCCTGGGAACAAAGGTGACATCATCAAACAGGAACGGTTGAAAGAGTCACACGTGGCCAAGCTTCTTGGATTAGTTGCTCAACATACATACTGAATTAATATGGTGAAAGAATGTAACCCTGAAGTCACCTTCCTGATTTTAAACCATTTCACTATCCCTTTGTTCTTTTCTAAAGACTGTCTTTTGGTCTAGGTACAATTTCTCCATGAACATGATTAAGTGTTCTGGAATTTCCATTCATTCCAATGCTCTCCATAGTTTGCTAGGATCTACGCAGTCGAATGCCTTTACACAAATAAAGCACATGTAAAAATCTTTCTGGCATTCTCTGTTTTCAGCTAAGATCCATATGATGTCAGCAGTGATATTCTTTGTTCCCTGTCCTCTTCTGAATCAGTGTGAAATTCTGGCAACTTCCTGCCAACGTGCTGCTGCAATCAATTTCGAATTATCTTCAGCAAAATTTGACTTCATGTGATATAAATGATATTGCTTGATAATTCCCGTGCTCTGTTGGATCATCTTTCTTTGGAAGGGACACATATCTGGATCTCTTCCAGTCTGTTGGTCAGCTAGCTGTCTTCCAACTTTCTCCACATAGACTAGAGAGTGCTTTCAGCACCACCAACAGTTTTTGGAAACATTTCAATTTGTGTCCCATCAATTAGAAAAAATAGCTTGGGATAAATTCCTCAGGCTAGAGAAAAAGAAGGATAGAGCCATCTCGAAATGAAATAATGCACTTCTTTCTAGAATCAAAGAATCCTGTTGTATAATCACTAGACTGCTAACCTCAAGGTCAGCAGTTCAGCCCCACCAGTTGCTCCATAAGAAAAACATGAGTCTTTTTGTTCCTATAAAGACTGACACTCTCAGAAACTCTACATAGGACCGCTATGAGTCCTAAGTGCCGCCATCAACTGTAGTCGGTTTGGTTTGGTTCTAGTATCTGAACTCCTCCAACTTCCTCTCTTCCTTCTAAAGCGCCATCCGTATTTTGAGGAAGTGTATTCCGTATCTTAGTTCTTTCTCCTTTTGTGCCCTTACCTGTCACTGGCAGTGGTGTCTTGAACTTCACTGAATTCAATCAGATATCCTAAATGGTTTTGTCTGTGCAGCAGTGCAAACATTCCTCCGTCACACAGACTCTAAAGGACATACCAGGGCCCTGAGGACATGAGGGTGTTAGGAGAATTCCTCCTGCCCCCAAGCTCATTTCTGTTCTTTCCCATCCTGTCACCCACAAATATTCTCCCCCCACATTATCTTCCCTCTCTCATACCGTTCAGTTTTCTTACTTTCATTTACCCATCTAATTTCTACCACTCTCCCCATCTTCTTTCTCATCATAGAACTATAGAGGGCTCTCAGTCCTTTGGGGGAGGGAAAAGACATGGAAGGGGCAGGATTGAGCAGGTGAGACTACTTTGATCTGTCCCTAATGATCCTTTCCCATGAGCATTAAATCCCAAAGTTCAAAAGTCATTACTTGAAAAGAACAGTTCCAAGGGCAAATAAGTCTAAGAAACACAATTAAACATTTCCCACCACCCCACCCCCCACAGAAAAAAACTTTTTCAAATCTTTAGTGTGATCATATGCATTTATAAATTAGCAATTTGTATAATGATTACCCCAGACTTAGAGGCTTAAAACACCAGTGAGTATTTAACTCACATTGGTTTGCAGTTCAAATCTACCAGCTGCTCCTTGGAAATCCCATATGGGTTTGCTATGCGTTGGAACCAACTTGACAGCACTTAACAACACCAACTTAGCACTAGATTGCTAATCACAAGGTTGTCAGTTCAATCCCACTACCCGCACCTCAGATACCCTATTCAGGACTTGACAACAGGATTCCACAGGACTTTACAACAACAAACTTGGAGTCTCTCATGAGTTTCTAACCAAGGTTGCAGCCTTCAGTCATCTGAGGGCCTGATCAAGCTGAATCATTCACCTGGCTGGCAAATTGATGGGGGCTATCAGCAGTAGGTCTCAGCTCCTTGCCACAGGGATATGTCTATTCGGTTGATTGATTGTGGACTCCTGGCTAGTGATGTGAATGAACAAGGAGGAAACCACAGTAGCTTTAAAGTCTTAGCCTCAAAAGTCACACACTATCATTTCTGTAATATCTTTTTTCATGCCACACAAGTCAGTTTGATCCATTATGGGAAGGCACCATACAAAGGTATAAAATAAGGGGAGAAGCCCTGGGGATCATTTCAGAGATACTCTAGTGCAGTGCATTATGAACTGCCAAGACTTATTTCATCACTGATGTATCATTTCCAAGACTTATTTGACAACAAAAATTGTTTAATAGAACATTCCAGGGTGCTGGGATTCCACAGTGGATGGGTCACTTTGGGAAGTGAGAGTCTTGGAGACTCTTAGCAAATGGGAGATGTGTTTGGAGGGGAAATCCTGGAAAATAGAGTCAGTGTAAAGACTGACTGTTAAAGTATGTGGATGATGGTGAAGTTAGAACTCAGGTCCAGCCTGCAACTGGTATGAGGGGGCTTGCTGTTGTTAAGTGCTGTTGAGTCAGTTCTAACCCATAGAGACTCTGTATAGGGTTTCCAAAGACCAGCTGGTGAGCTTGAATTACCGACGTTACAGTTCAAACCGACTTTGCAGTCCAGGGCATTAACCCACAGTACCACACCAGGACTTCAAAGAGGGAGCTAGAACAGAGATTCTCTGCCAGTCCTCAAAACGTGGGACGCTCGGTAGGTACTCTTGTAAAAGCTGTTTACTACTTTGACCCAAATCAAAGATTTGGGAGAAAAGATCAAAGTTCACAGGCTGAAAAAAAAACAAAAAACAAAAAAAACCAACAGCTGTTATCACTGAATCTTTAAATCATGGAGATGGAGATCATCCAGAAGATTCAGCTGTTCCATGCCCCAAGCAGCCACTGGGCACCACACACTCTATGGGGACTGTTAGCTGTTTTCACCCACATGACTGAACTTTTATAATCTGCACTAAGACTACAGAAGGTCAAGGGCGATTCAGATCACAAAGGCCCTGTTCTTCCCTATTTCGTTTTCCCTTTGGCCTGTTTGCAAAGGTCCCAGGCTCAAATAGAAGCCATCGTTTTTTTTTAGAGGTAATAAGTTCTCACTAAATGTTTACAGTTGTGTGGGGTGAGGCTGAAAGGGGAATATGCGGGGGTGGTGGGGGTGGTGAAAGGTCAGAGAACGTGAAAGCTGTTGTTGTTATTATTCTTAAGTGCCATCCAGTCAATTCTACTCATTAAGGGCCCTGTTTAGGGTTTTGGAGGAGCAGCTGGTGTGTTGGAATCTCTGACCTTGTGGTTCACAGTCCACCGCTTTTCTGACAGCGCCATACCAGGAGACCATGAGAAAGCTAGTGATGGGAAAAAGGAAATGAAGAAAGAAAAGGAAAATGCGTAAGAAAAAGGAATAAGAAAACACGCACAGACTACGTATAAATGATAAGGAAAAAATGGATAAGTCCCTCCCACCCAACCCCACACCCGCGAACGCCGAAGCCTGCCTTAGCTGCTTTTGACCACAAGGTGGCACTCTTTGAACCGCTTTCCCATAAAAATAAGATAGGGGGTTGGAGGGGAGGGAGAAAAGAGAAAGCACTCCCCTAACCAAGAACAATTTGAAAACCCACCCCATAATATTTAAAATCTAGGACAAAGAACCGTCAGGACGGAACTGCTTCTATTGCAAAACCTCCGCGCAGCCTCCCGAGCGCCCCGCCGGCCCAAGTCTAGAATCAGCCCCTTTAAAAAAAGTGGAGTACAGTATTGGGATTCTTGAAACCTGAAACCCAGAAACAGAATCGAAGCGGAAACTGGAAGGAAAACCTTGAACTCCTCCTGACAATTGCTCCCGGGGAGTTTCGAGAGAGCGAGGGGAAATAAAAGACCCGGGCGGAGGAGCCCTCGGATGGCGCGTGCCTGAGGGTCCTGGGCAAGTTCGTAGAGCGTGGGAAGGAGAGGACGCGACCTCCTTTTGGGCTGCGGGTCATGGCCACTGTGGAGCAGAGAGCCCGCGGGATTGGCTTCAAGTGTCTCTCTTTGGCCACTTTTGTGCTCGTCTGCGCCGGGCAAGGGGGACGCAGGGAGGATGGAGGTCCAGCCTGCTACGGGGGATTTGACCTTTACTTCATTTTGGACAAGTAAGTGCCGTGAGTCGTTCCACCCTCGTCTGAGCTGATGATGCTTTCTCCTGGGCTGGGCGGCTTGGCTAGTGGTTTTGGGACAGGCAAGCATCTCTAGGCGCCAAGAGGGACCCAGGCGCCGCGGGGTGACTTTGGTTCCAGCGCTGCGCCTTTGTTGGAAGAGCGGTCCTCCCGCCCTACTCCTCGGTTGCGTGTGGGGGTGGGGGTTGGGTGGGAGAGATAAAACTTCTTTTCTGGGACCTAGAAGCCTGGCAGAGAATTTGGGGATGCTAGTCACCTTCTGCATTTGCTTTTGGAACGTTGGTGAGAAAGATTTGCTTAACCGAGGGAACAGTTTCTCAGGCAGTTCTAAAGAGGCATAGCGTTTTTAAAGTCAGTCTTATCTTTTTAAGAAAGTTGTCCAGCAGAGTGCATTGCCTTTGTTCCTAGAAATATGCTGACTGGATAGTTAACGAAAATATAAGGCAGGGTGTCTCAACCTCAGCACTGTTGACATTTTGCACCAGATAGTTATTTGGGAGTGGGGTGAGGAGTACTTTACCCTGTCCATTGTAGGATGTTTAGCAGCATCTCTGGCCTTTACCTACTAGATTCCAGTAAAACACATACAAACATGGGGTGGGGGGCGGATGATAAACAAAAGTGTATCTTTTGTTGTTGCTGTGTACAGGGTTTCCAAGGAGCGGCTGGTGAGCTTGAACAGCAGACCTTGCAGTTCAAACCAACTTTGCAGTCGAGTGCATTAACCCACTGTGCCACACAAGGTCTAGATATCGACACATGTCCCCATTTGGGATTAAATCCCTCCATCCCCCGCATTGAGAACCTCTGAAGTAAGAGAATTCTAGCTCTCGGCCAGCTGACTGCTTGGCTACCAGGGAGGTGCCGGAGCCCAGGGTTCCTTACTCAAATGGATAGTGGTTAGAACTTTGCTGAACTTGAACCACTTAAATGCTTCCCCAGTTCCAGTGATTTGCCAAACCATAGTCATTCAGGGAAGCTTCATGTTATCTACTGAAACTCATCTTCAACAATATAAAGCCCCTCTTAGAAGATTGATGGTCATTAACACTGTGTGAGCTCCCCAGTGCCAGGGCCCAGGGCTTGCTGTTACAGTGGTGGGGAGATGAATTTCACAGACTGGAAAGTATTTGGGAGTTGGAAAAAAGAACTCTGCAAAATAAGCTGGCCAGCTAGACACCAAATGTGCTTTGCAGTTGCCCCTGGAGTTTGATTTTTCCGTAAAGGCTGTGTTGCGCTCCAGATTATTTGGATGAAAAGTCAGATCTCATTCTTGCAGATTTATGAGAAGGTACATACTGAAAATATAATCCAGGACTAAGAAGTGGAATTTCTTTTGTTATTTCTAGTAGTCTGTGAGCACCAGCCCCCAGATTCAGAGACTGTGTCTGAAAATAGAGATGCTATGCTTTTGAAAAAGCCAGTTCAGTGGGACACACAGGGAGGCTTGAGGCAATGGACAACAGTTTCTCCGTGTTTCTGAATGTTCCTTGATACTACAGAGACAATCATTCTTTCTAAATTAACTTATGCATTTAATTATATTTTGCCATCATAGTTCTGAAAAAAAGATTGTTTTGGTGATGGGAAGCGTTAAAATAAATTTTGGTTTATCTGAGAGAGTAATCAGATAAAAAGAGCTAAAACATTTTGGGGAAAGAATAATGAAGAAATGCTCAATTCCTAGGCCTGCACTGCCCAACAGAACTTTCTACAGTTAGTGAACTGCTCTATATCTGTGCTGTGCAATCTGGCAGCTACTAGCCATATGTGGCTAGTACAATTAAGGAAGTGAATTTTTAATTCTTTTGTTTTATTCATTTAAATAATCACATGTGGCAAGTGACTACCTACCATATGGGACAATGCACCCTAGAGGATAATTTGGCCACTTCATCAAATGCTTTTGAAAAGTGGAAGAGGTCTACTTTTTTCATTCAGCAATTTCATGCCCTAAAAGAAAAAAAAAAAAAAAAAAAAATCCAAGAGTCACAAAGAAGTGTCAATAGGTATGTCCAATGGCAATGCTGTACATAATAATAAAAAGCTGAAAATGACAGAAATGTCCAAGAGCAGGAGATTAAGTAAAGCTTGATATAGGCATAGTGTTAATATGCATATTAGGCATGCTAGTAGAATATTTTAGGAGAAATGTTTAATGCTCACAATGTACTCTTAGGTGAAAATACAATTACCAAACATTTATACGTTATGATTCCACCTTTGTAAAACAAAATAAACAAACAACTAAACATAGACATGTGTGTATTTAGATTTACCGCTATGGCAAGAATATTTTTCTCTAGACCATAAGCCAGCACACACATCTGTTGCCATTAAGTTGATTCTGACACACGGTAACCACATGTAGCAGAGTAGAACTGCTTGGTAGGATTTTCTTGGCTATAATCTTAATGGAAGCAGATAGCTAAAGTCTTTCTTCTGAGATGCTACTGGTTGGGTTCAAACCGTGAACTTTTAGGTCAGTACTCCATTTCTACTACTTGCGCCACCCAGAGAACCTCTTAGTGATAAGATTTTTCAATTCTGGTTTTATACTTTTCTGAAGTTTCCAAATTTTCTACAATGAAAATATATATTACTTTTTTTAGGTTTTAATTTATGGTTCTTATTGTGGATTGAGTGAAAGTTTACAGGGCATAGCATCAGTTTTACATTCAACAAATCATACACCTTGTTTCATTACAGTGATTATAATCCCCTCCATGTACCAGCAGTTAACGGTATTTCTCTCTTATCCACTTTAGCTTTTTAAAAAACAAACAAAACAAAAAACCCACTCAGGCATATATAATAATTTACATCTCCAAAGGGCACATTCTGCAAGTCTGCCTCCTGGCCGCCAGCTCTTAGTCCCTCTCTTCTTAGTCCATGAATCTAGTCCTCAGCCACACCCCCTCTCCATGCCCCCATCTCTGCCTCCATCTCTGGCATCACTGCTTCTCTGGAGAAGGTCCCACATTCTGTTTGTGTGTTTCTCTCTTGAAGATCCTAGGGTCCTCTGTTTCTGGACTGTAAGATTAACCACTCCCCTGTTTTTGTTACAAAACTTCACCCTTTACAATTGTAACAGTTGAAATTAGTCATGATAACAGTTATTCACTATTGAATCTTACGAATCTTATACTCCCCATCTCTTTTCACCAGACCCATCTAGACAAGATGA